AACCATACAAAACAGAAATTAAACGCATGTTTTTCAATTATCTTGCTCGTGAATGCTGCATTAGTGGCTGAAATCTCAGCACATATGCCACTGAGCAAATGCTTAAGCCACCGCAGCAATGAGATTCTGGCAAAGGGCTGGGAGATGATGTTTGTAAGAATGGATACTACAGATATTTTTAAACCTGTAGATATTTTAAAAGTGCTTTGTAAAAATGGTCCCATGATTTACTGTATCTGCTTATAATCATACATGATATACCTCTAACTTTTACATAAAAATGCTAATATCAACATTGCTCTTCATTAATTTACATTGATACTGTTTTTTACATGTTATCTATTGTGATTAATACAGGAGGAGTAACGACAAAACACAATCCTGAGAAGTAGGGAAAATAACTTTATATGTACCACATCATGATCAATGCTCTGATGTACAAGGTGCTATGTGAACACAGAAGAAGGTCACTGAACTCAGCTTATAGCAAGGAGATACCCTCCCAGGGAAAAGATGCTTTCCAGAGAAGATATGGCTTGAACTGAATCTTAAAAAACAAGTACGAATAAGCCAGATGTAGAAGAGAAGAGGTTAAGTTACTCATTGGGTTACTCATACTATCTTCTGTCTTTTGAACTTACCTGTAGCCAGGTAAATGGGGTGATTCTGGGCAGGGCTCCATGCCTGCATGGCTGTACGATCTATTTCCTTTAACTTCATCCTGCTAAAGAGAATACTTTATATAGAAATCTACTGAATACGTTACATAGAACACAGAAACTTATCTTACATAAAAATATACTGGACAAACCAGTACATTAGTAATGGCCAAAGTGCCAATAAATCAAATTGGCTTAGATGTCATTTATTGGAAATGCTCTCAATATAATAAAGAAGACAAACTTGTTAAGTTATTTTGAGAAAATATCAAGCTATTCTAATTGTTTACAGATTACAGTCCTTCAGTTGAAAAATCAGTCTAGAAAAAATACCCCACAAAAACACTACAGGGTGATAGTTGAGGAATTAACTTTGCTATCCATGTGCTTCTCAAACAAGGACGTATCAGGGTGAGGGGAGCAACATAACAAACAAGGTGCATCTTCCTGGAGTAGGATTACTCAATGTTAACAGCAGTTTTAAAAGTTAATCTTAAATTTAAACACCTACTATAGAGACGAATATAGTAAGCCCACAGATTTTAAAGATAAAGCAGAAATTTTTAGAAAACTTGTCTCTTCAAGCTACAATTCCACATACCACTTGTTTATATATTCTCTCCATCATTAAAGTTACTTAGAAAAATTCAGGAGATATTGTGCTCTGTATTTTTTTGAAATCTTTGTTATGTTTACAGAAATATATTCACATGGCATAGTACTCCCTTGCAAGACGCACCATAATTTAATTACTCAGTCTGATACTAATGAACAGCAGATACTGTTTTTTTGTTATTTTTACAAACAATGCTGAAATACATGGCCATATGCCCATGTTATTTCATTCACAGGCAAGGACAGCTATAAATTTCCAGAAGTAGTAAAACTGCTAGGTTAAAGGATAAGTGCAATTTTAATTTTGATGATTACTACCAAGTTGCGCTCTATGGCAACTGTACCTTTTCACATTCCCAAGAGTTAATATGTGACTACCTGCTGTCCTACAGCCTTACCAGAGTGTACTGTCACACTTAGATTTTTACCAACAAAATATGTGAAAAATGTTAGCTCTGTATAGTTTTACTATAAACGATGTAGAGCATCTTTTTATATGATTATAGCTCACCCATATTTCCTTTTCTGTCACCTTTTCTGTCTATTCATATCACTTGCC